CTCTGCTCCTCCTCCTCGCTTGTGTGCTCTCTCTCTCAAATAAATAAATAAAATCTTTTTTTTAAAAGTTGCAGTGTAAATGAATTTAGTATCATTCCATGTCCTAAATAATTCACATTATTTTTCTCTTCTCAAGCACCCACTGACTTCAATACAATTCTATTTAAGTATCATTTAATGAGCATCTGTCTGTTGAAATACACACACACGTGGTAGGTGCTAGGGTGGGAAGTTAGACACAGCACAAGGGCACAAGAAAGAGTAAAATGAATTTGATTAGGAGGTGGCAAGAGGATTCGTGATATGAGCTGAGCCTCAAGTGAATACTGGAGTGTCTCTGTTATACACTGAGAAAGAACACCCCCAACAAATGCACATTAGAAGCAAAGGTATAAAGATGGAAAAGTTCAGGGTTTGTCTGATGATTGAAAAGTAGATCCAGGTGAAGGGGACAGTGCTCATGCCTGTGTGTGCAGGTCAAAGTCAAATGCAAGAGTGACAAAGGAAGGGGGATCAAATTGTGGAGTCAAGTCAGTTTATAGCTGCTAAGTTAAGGCCTCCGGTTTATGTATTATTCAACAGGGAACTGTCAAAGGGACACATTCACCCTGAGTCAGAAGAGGAAGAGGAAAGAACAGGTCTAGAAGTTGACAAGTTTTAGGTAACATGAGAGAAAGTTAGAAGAATTCACACCTAATGGTTGAGATGATGATTAAACAGGTAGGTGTTGGAACAATGAAGTATCTGGATTAACTTTTAGCTAGAAGTTGATGACTAGCGAAACACCGAAGGCATGTAGGCCAACTGAGGTTTTGAGTAGAGTTATGACCCATAGAATGATCTTTTTATTTTACTAAATCTCTGCCACCTCAGTATACAAACAAAGAAATTGTGTGCCTAAAACTAAGTGTCAAAGAATGGTCGGCATCATGGGTTATGGGGGTCAGTCTATAGTTGAAGGGACAGGGGTCCAAAGAGCAGCAGGCAAATTCAGGAGGAAGGGAAATGGTTAAGGGACAAGAATACTTAACTTATTTTATTTCACAGAACAAATACTTATGTGAACTAGGAAATGTGAAGGAATTTATGTGAGCAAATACTGGTTCATTTAATTTTCATAGCAAACATATGAGATAAATATTACTAGGATTCCAGTTTTACAAGTTGGAGAAACTGAGCCTAAGGAGTTTTTTTGTTTTTTTCAATGTCTCCCAGTCACTCATAAGTGTCAAAGCTAGGCTGCGTTCAGTTAGTGAAACCAAGAGTCTACGCTCTTAAATACTGTGCTATGCTGTATTTAAAAGCAGGAGAGGGGGAAGTTAAGTGACCATAGTCTGTGGTCAAAGTAAACTATTAGAGTTTAAAATTTTAGAAAAAGAACAATCTTTGGAAATTACAAGGCATGGGGTATTGCTGCAGAAGTGGGTGGCTGAAATAAAATGGGGGTGAGGTCACAGAATTTGAGGAGTGCAAGGAAACTAAAAGAGGAAGATACTGAAAGATTCCCCACAAAGTATTGTAGCAGGCTTAGGGTGGAGAGGGCAAATCCGCCTTGGTACAGTGTTCTCATCCATGCATCAGCGTGGTTGGTAACTGATACCAACAAGGAGAGAGAAAAATGGAATCCCCCACAACTTCAACACGTATGCACAAAAACCTGCATGCACACGCACGCACATGCACACCTACTCTGCAAGGGTCCACAGCAGCAGGTGAGTCAACACCATCTACCTGATCAGGCCTCAGTATAAGCAAAGTTCTCAGTGAGAAAATATGATTGGAGCAAGTAAAGTAATGTGAAGAAACGACATATAATCAGGGGAAAGTTCAAGAGCTTTTGTTTGTTTCCTTTCAATGAAAAGAAAAAGATTTTTCTAAATATTTTGTAAACGCCTGGCAGAAAAGACAGGTGAGAAGATGAGAGGTGCTAGTTAAGTGATGAATAGATTTATAAAACATTATTTTGGGGGGAAAAAAGTATTCCTTTTATAAACATTTCCAACAATGCCATTATTTTATCTAATAACCCAGGTCAAAGAACCTACCAAAGACTGCCGCCATTCAGTAATTACGAGAAACAATCCTCCTTTTAGAGAAATTGTGTGTGTGTGTCTCTTTTCACGGACCAGAGGAACTACATAAATCAGGGCTCCTCAAAATGTGGTCTCTAGAGCTGAAATTTCAGCATCACCTAGAAACTTGTTATAAATAAAAATTCTAAGGGCCCCCTCCAGACCTGCTGAATTGCCTATACTGCATTTGGGGCCCAGAACAAGCTGTGTGTTCATAAGCCCTGCAGGTGGTCTTACATGTGATAAAGTTTAAGAACTTCCGGTCTAAGCCAGTGTACATGTATTCCTTTTTGTTTAGCTACCTAGAAATTAAGATCCAAATTCAGCGTTCAACAGCCAAAGTTAAATGTATTAGGCACTTGTTCATATTTATTTCTATGTTAATTTTAATTACCTTTTCCATTTTATTTTTTCTTTCCTCTAGTTTATATTGTGTTTAATAAGTTGCCACCCTTTTGGAAATAGTATATATTAACCACAAATACTCAATTTCTTTCAAGTATTACTGAAAATAAATTTCAAGTTTAAAAATTTTAAAAACCATGACCATAGAAGGATACATGAAATGTTTGATGGTAGACAAGGAACAAGGTCTAGTCCATTGACAGAAGAGTGGGTGAGAGGAATGGATTCTGAATTAACTGATGTGGGAAGGGGCCGGGCACTGGCATTTAAGAAACAGACAAAAAAAAAGCTCCCAATAATTAAGGACCAGGTTAAGTTCCTCCGTATTGGAGGACAGCGGAGATGAGAAATAGAGTGGAGCAGGATCAGAGGCACAACTTCATGTATTCTGAAGCTGACATTCATGTACTTTGAAGACTCTGGTGAAAATCACAGTGATGGTGTCAGGCCCCAACAATTCTACCCATGACAAGAGTCTGAAGCAACAGTTAAGGAAAAAGGAAAACACGCCTGGATCTGATGTAGGCTTGAAAAAGAGCTAGAAAATTCAGGAGTGCCTGGGCAGCTCAGTGTGTTAAGCATCTGCCTTCGGCTCAAGTCATGATCTTGGGGTCCTGGGATCGAGCTCTACATCGAGCTCCCTGCTCAGCAGGGAGTCTGCTTCTCCCTCCCCACCCCCCCACCCCCGCTCGTGCTTTCTCTCTCACTCTCTCTCTCTCAAATAAAAATCTTTACAAAAAATAAAAATAAAAAGAGATGGAAAATACAAAGACAGCGCAGAGGGAAGGGGTTTAAAAACAATGAAGAGTTGGGTGCCTGGGTGGCTCAGTTGATTAAGCGACTGCCTTTGGCTCAGGTCATGATCCTGGAGTCCCGGGATCGAGTCCCGCATCAGGCTCCCTGCTTAGCAGGGAGTCTGCTTCTTCCTCTGACCTTCCTCCCTCTCATGCTCTCTCTCTACCATTCTCTCTCTCTCAATAAATAAATAAAAGCTTTAAAAAAAAATGAAGAATGGTCAGTGGCACGTCGGGTTTGACCTGATTCATCAAGTATTTTTAAGTTTAAGTGACATTTTGCCTGTAGCTGTGGACAAAGACTGTTGATTCATAAACCCACACTGAAAATTTAAAAGCATGCCTCTCAGGAATTCTACCTTAAAAATAAAACCACCCTGATGCGTGGTTCCAGTTGACATAAAAATAATTAAAGTGCAACACAAAGAGCATGTTAAACAGGAGTGATGGTGCCTTCCTTTCTTCTCAGACCTGGAAAAAATTCTGTGCCTTTGTATTTTTAAAATCATCCCAAACACGGACCTGATAACACCTGAGCAAACTTTCTCCTTGGCCATCGCTTCAATAGAAATTCCCTGAACATTAATATTTATTTTGGAATGAGAGAGATTTCTGTATGTTCTTAGGAATACAAATAAATCTTGAAATGCAAATATTCGACATTTAGGAATAATAAATATGTATTTTAAAAATGATGCTAATATGGTTTATTCATAACTTACACAGGTATGACTTAGTCATACTATAGTAAATTCTTTGTTAGTAAGAGAAATATTATCAACATGTTACTATTACATTTACCTAAACATGATTTCCAATCATAATTGTGAGACCTCACAGTGTTCTATATTTGTTTGAAAATAACAAATTTAGGATTTATTATCTTCACTATCGTTTCAGTCAAGAACTTTTAATTCATTTTAATGCCATCCAATACAATCAGGTTAATCAAATTACTGAACAAGCCACCAGCTCTATGTTTAGCAGGGGCTTTGGAGACAGACTATGTTATTAAATGTTCAGGCTTAGAGTAAATACTTGAAAAATATTTTCCTGCATTGCAATGAGTATAGTTTGCCACCAGAGAGAGCTCAGACACTATAGTTTATTAAAGACAGCCATTTATTTCCTTTCAACTAGATGGAAATTCTCTGTCTGAAATACCTGCTCTATTGTAGAAGAGAAAAAAAAAAAAAACAGAGCTATTGTTTATTTATAATATCCAGAGTCAACTCCTATACATGAAACTTTCATGTGTGACATGTGAGAAATCACTTATCCCTGGCAAAGAAAGTATCAGTGCTGAAGTTTTCAAGGAAGATGGCCAACAGAGACTCAGGTTGTCTGTGTACAGTGAACCCCCTTGTTGACTAAGGGGAAGACCTCCTCACATACTAGAAATAAAGGTTTTTTCAAAACAACTCAAATGACACTTTCCAATATCATCGTGTTACCAAACTGAGGGACAGTCAAGAAAAAGTCATTTGACAGACCAACACGCTCAAGAAATACTCCCTAATAAATGGAACCTGATAAAAACCTGAAATTGATAGATTCATAATATCTTTTGTCTGATTCCCAATTGAAGGAATTTTTATTTATTAACCAAAGTCACTTCATTTAATGAAAAACTCAGACAACCGTAGTAGATACAGTTTTAAATTCATCACTATCTAGCGCCTTCCCTACCCCCTGCCGTGATAAGTAAACGAAATAAAGAAACACATACATTCGAGTTTATCCTCTGGTCTTCCTCTTTCAAGAAGAGACAGATAACAGACAATGTCCTTCAGATGGATTACTTCTGGGGAACACGTATTTGCAGGAGAAGTACGGGGAGGGGTGATGGCACCTTTATTCATTCTCAGACCTGGAAAAAAAAATTGCTTTTATATTCTTAAAGATATCCATACAGTGCTTTCAAAGAAAAAGACAACTAAGAAAATAGATAATGCACAGACCTTTTAGAGAACTATATATTTTTAGGTAAAAAATAGCCAAAATCTCTGGAACTCTAGGATAGCAGAGTCAGATATATTCTATGATTACTGTAAATAATTCAGAGTTTTTTGGTATTCAGGGACATGGAGATTTCTCCTCCTGCCTGTAAGAGCATGTTGGGGTCAGAATCCTCTTGTCCAGGGTGAGCTGATGGACAGATTTGAACACATGAAAAACCACTTTCCTCTTCCACCTTTCTCTGCTTTAGGAAGTGGCAACAACAAATCAGCTAAGAAGATACTAAAATTTGGCCTTTTACAAAACACTGAAGAAGAGACTTGAGTCTGTCACAGTATGATTTATATGTTGATAATCAGGAATCATTCATTCAGAAAAACACATATTTATGTCAAATATTTGTGGGCACCATGAATAAAACATCCTTTTTCCCATCAAGAAATCGGCCCATGAGTAAGAAAGGGAACATAAACAACAATCGACCTGAATACCACAGACATTTGATTAGAGAGGAAAGAACATATGACCATACTTTAGTTTTAATATGGTTCATAACTTTATTTCTGAAACCCATTCACTGTGCTTATACCAAGACAAGGGTAGAGAACGGGAATGCCTGTTTGCAATAGCTGATGACAGCAGATTATTTAGCCGATAATGATTGAACTGAAACTCCTTTATAATAAATGGTTAATTCCATCTAACAGAGATGCATGTGAAACCAGATCATGTGTACCTGACAAGACCTGAAGGCAAACCCCAATTATCCTTTAAGGTTCATTTGGCAAACAAGAGGTGTTTGGGTGAAATGGCTAATGGGCTGAATGGCTGCTAGATTCCTAATCAAACGGGAGTTACTAGAATGGAGGGAATAATCCCAACCAAACACAGTTCTACAAGCCTATCAGTCCAGAGCATGCCTCTACCTAACCACATCTCGTGCTCTTGTCCATTTTCTTGGATAAGTAACTTTGATGGAGTACCTGGCATCTCCTCCAGCCGTCTCAAGAACCCAGCATATCATTTAATGGATTATGAAATTACTTTCATCATTCACAGTGTTAATATGAAAAGCTACTCTTTATTGAGTGTTGAATATGTGGCAGGAACCATCCTGGAGGCTTTAACATGGATCGTCTCACTTAATTCCCATGTTAACTCTTCGAGGTAGATTGCAATATTCCCATTTTACAGGCTTAGAGTTCCACAGCTGGCAAATCCACCCTCTTTATTCTGCACTAATGGATGACAGACCAAGGCCAAGGGTAAGAAAAAGTAAGAAAAACAATTTACACGTGAATCCAGCAGAAGCCTTTTATTCTCCCTCTCTCGCCCTCAACATTAGTAGGTTCTGTAACTGCCCCAAGCTTTCTTTTCCATGTTAATCTCTTCTCTTTTCTTCTATTTCATTCTTAAAATTCTGTCAAAGACCCTCTAAATTGAATTTACCAACCATTAATGGGTCACAATCCACATTTTGAAAAACACTGCTTTACATCTTTCTTTCAGTTTTTTGTTTTTACCGAAGTCGTACTTATTTCAAATACAGCTCTATGCTTCATATTAATTCTATTTGATAATAGCTATCAAAAAAGAGATATAATTATAAATTGATTTTTCCTAACAAAAGTGTCACTGTATGTCTAATACAAACTAATATAGTTATTTTTAAAAAAACAAAAGAAGGCAGAGAATTGAAGACAATCCCGAGTTTTCAAAAATATACATACCTGACTAATTCTACCTAACCAACTAAAGCTTGGCCAGCTGCAGGAATAAGCAGTTCACACTTATGATGAAAGATATTTTGGAACTGACCTTTGACATGACCGTAACTTCCAGACTTGGAAAACACAGCACTTGAGTTATGTTCGGATAAACTATGACCTAACCCAGCCTGCCTGATGAGCTAATCCTCTCTTCTCTGCTTCCCTCCCCCTTACGGTACTGAAATGATTTAATCAGCTTGATTTAACTCTTATACAAAACCTCAGAACAAAACAAGAAAGAAGGAAAATAACATGTTATGACATTCATTTGAAAGAATGCCAACCACATTATATATTTTCACTGATTCAGAACACTTCATGATCATTTGTTTGTATAAAACTAAAGTGCATGCTATTTCTTTATCAGCTTTCATAATATTGAATATAAAAAATCTGGAGAATGTGAGGACCATATAATTTTCTGTTTGCCTTTCTTGTAAGTAATATACATATTGAAAAGAAGCATACAAATATAATTTATATCTAGCCCCACCTTTTTGAAAAAGCATATTATTATACTAAAATGATTTTTGACAAAATGAGAAAATATTTTTCATTTTCTGTTCATGAAATGTTATAAACTAAAAGCTGTATCATATTCATGTCACAGTCTTATATTTAAAAGAATTTAGTTTAATTTTTTTTTTTTTTTAATTATGGGCTTATATGGCAACACACATTGAAGAACTAATCAACTCTTCCTCAAATCCAGACAAAGTTTTTGTTTCGGTTCTTAAGTGAGTGATAAAGCATACAGTTTTTACAATGATTGTTAGGGTGCGTCAAAGGTCTTTTTCTCAATTACTTCATAACAAAAAACTTCGGAGAGCAGGACTTGACTAAATTTTGAGGTGCTGAACTGAGGAAGTCTCACAGGCTTTTTCCTATTCCTACTCTCGTCCCCCAAATCAGCTCACTTTCTCTTCTGTGGTGAAAAGGTTTCTTCATATTTTCATTTAATTTTCTGAAAGCAGGCCCTGAGGCCTCAATCTGTCTTCATAGAGACTTTTCCCACCCTACTCTACCATTAATATACATTTTTTCCTTTCCTTAAATCTGGCTGGAGGTCTTTTCCTCTACTTGTCTCCTTCACTGTCCTAAAAAATTCTTTTTCTTTCAAGCAGACTGTACTAAGGCTTATGTGGAACACAGGAAACAACACAAGTGGCAAACAAGAGGTTGAAAGCCCCATTTCCTAACTACAGCTTTTCAAGGAGATAGTAAATGGAACCGTACGTTCCTCTTTAGCAGCAGTGGCCTCTGAAGAAGGGGCTCAAAATTCTATGTTCCATTAAGGAAGGCCATTTTAATCCATCCCATCTTTGGTGAAACTCTTCAGAGTTGGAACCGAACACAAAACTAGGCAAAACTTTTGCCTCAGGTGGTCAATATTTAGCTTTAAAGAAAATGTGATTGACACCCAATTTGCAGGCTCACTGACTTGCCAAAGGCTATGCTTCTTTGAATATTTCCTCACAAAAGTGAAGCAAGTATACACACACACACCATTTATGTCCACACACCAATATACATCTATACATGTATACTGCAGTGAACAAGAAAGCACAAAATAAAGTGAAAAACTAAGCATTGTAATAAAGAGTGTATTAGTTCCAGGGCGCCTGGGTGGCTCAGTCGTTAAGCGTCTGCCTTCGGCTCAGTTCACGATCCCAGGGTCTGGGATTGAGCCCCACATCGGGCTCCCTGCTCAGCAGTAAGTCTGCTTCTCCCTCTGCCTCTGCCTCTCCCCCTGTTCATGCTCTCTCTCTCTCTCTGTATCTCTGTGTCTCAAATGAATAAATAAAATCTTTTTTAAAGGAAAGAGTGTATTAGTTTCATTAGGAAAAATTACCTTGTACTTTGAAAACATTTTTCTGTTTTATGATGATTTAAGTGGGTATGTTTGTACACCTCCTTACATATAAACATTCTTCAAAGTTTTAACTACCAAAATAGTTAGCATTAGTCAAGTTGAGCATTGCCTACTAGTACCACATTCTTCAAGCACATGATTTTCATTGTACTTCATTCTAGACGCTCCGTTTCCTGACACAAAAACCTAAAAAGTTTTGTTTTAATAGATACTTTTAATTCTAGCTTCAAGGTGCAATTATTAGCCAATACATTTTGGGTACATGTTCAATTATTGCCTCTGTTCCAGTTTGTTTTATTGTCAAACACATCGCTCAGGTACTGTTGTATCCATTGTTTCCCTTCATCTATCACAATGGAATATTCAAAACTAATAACATAAATTACATTTCTAAACTTATAAGGCAAGAGAAAAACAACACTGGCAATTTGGCTTTTCTATTTTTCCATACTGGTTCAATTTTCAGAAATTTATCAGGCTTAGAAACAATTTGTCATAGTATAATCATATTTCCAATATCCATATTAATCGTCACAATGAGTAGCACAGACAATCAAGATTAAAAACAATTGTTTGGTATTGTCAGACATTTCATGATTTTCAGAGTTAACCTTCCAACTATGCTTGCCTTAGCATAGTATTATAATTTTTTTTTATGCTTCTACAAACTGGCAGCAAAATGAAATAGATAGGGTTACAAATCAACAAGGGAAGTAAAATACACATAAAGTGAGGACAGGCAGTGGGGTACCTTCCCTGACAGGAGACTGGTGCCAGCAAATTTTCTGTAAGAAATCTGTTTGGACATTGGCAAAAACCCCAAACAAGTAATAATAAGGAACAGGGCTTGAAGCACAGGTCTTTGAGGGTGATGTTCTAGAAGTAGAGCAACCTCTGTGAAGGAGTAGTAACAATAACATCCCTGGCCGTGTGCCAACAACACTTAAACAGAGTGGTCTGATTTGACCCTACAATTCTATTTTAGAGACTAGAGGGTGGAAAATCAGAGGGTAAAGTAAACCTCTGATCATCATGTAGCAATCTGGGGAGTCAAGAGTTGAAGACAGGATATCTAATTCCAAACTTTAGGGTCTTTTAAAGTGGTACAATCAAGATCTGTCTACATCAATTATGTCTGGTAAAATATTCTGCAAAGATAGAAATATGCCATATATGTACCATCCAATATGGTAGTATTAACCATATATAGCTGTTAAGCCCATGAAATATGACTGGTGCGACTGAGGAATTGAATTTTTATCTTATTTA